CGGGTCGGGTCGTGACAAAAATCCCGCCAAAAAATGAGTTGTGCCGAGCAAATACCGAGCAATACCAAACAATAACGAGGAATACCATCATTTGAAGACCCAATACCGAGTTATATCGAGCAATACCTAGTTATACAAAAGTTGTACCGAGTTTTTCCTAGAAAAAACTCGGTACAACTCGGTATTTCTCGGTACAGCTCGATATAACTCGGTATTGATCTTCAGAGAGCGATATTCCTCGTTATTATCAAATAATACCTAGTTGTACCAAACAAATACCGAGTTTTTGGCGGGATTTTGCCTCCAACCGGACGTTCCTCTACGTCCTTACACCGGATGTAATAAAAGTTTCTTTTTTTGATAGCTTGATGAAATGAATGCTAGGTTATGTTGGGCACCGAGGCATGAACGTAGGCTTCATCGAGCCAAATCACGTAAAAAATCACATTCTCTCTTTTTTTTGTTCTACAAATTTTGTAATTTTTTCATTTATATGATTGTGAGGATCTTTTATATAAAGTTATTTTTTGTTAAAATATCTTTTAATATAAAAAATGCATATTTAGAATAAAAAATTTTAATATTTAATTTAACTCCCTTGTGGGTTTTATGTAAACTATCAATTAGCATTAATGTCTGTGCTCCATATCTAACATTAGATGCAAGAGTAGATTTCTTAGGATTTTCTCCTATAAATACATGTTGCATTAAGACTTTGTGACTTTGTTTGGAATTTTGTAGCTGCTTTCTAAAATATTTTTTTTTACATAAAAATTTTTAATTTAAAAAAATTATACAAACTACTTTAGAAATTAGCAAAAAAATTGTCCCAAATAAAGTAATAATTTGTCACAAATTTTTTTACTATTTTTTAAACATATTAGAAATTTTTTGTACGGAATTTTTTTGGCATTCATTCCTTGAAAAAAAAAATTTCTCGGATTACTAATTTCTGAATCGTCGGGGACGATGGCTCCACGGAACTTTATTAGGTCAGGACACCTGACGTAGGTCTACATCTGGACGCCAATAAAATGCCGCCACGTGCTCTTACACTCTACCGCGCGGCCCGACGATCCGACCCGGACCGGAACCCGATATTGCTATGTTCGTGTATTGCTAGGTATTGCTCGGTATTACTAGGTATTGCTCGACAATAACAAAAAATAGTGCTCTTTCAAGACTAATACCGAGCAATACCTACTAATACCGAGCAATACCTAGCAAAATCGGGGTATTGCTAGGAATTAGTCTTGACAAAATGGTATTTCTCGTTACCGAGTAATACCTAGCAATACCCTGATCTGCATAAATAAGCTAATACATAGCAATACCGGATTTCGGTCCGGGCCGAATCGTTGGGCCGCACCATAAAGAATAAGAACACCTGACAACATTTTATTTGCTAGGTCAGTAGTCATGACCTAATAAAAGTTCGGCTCCACGACTTATGCAAAGCATGGCTTCCCTCGCTTCCCTCGTTTCCCGCTCATTGGATGTTCTTCTATTCTAGTGAAGGGCCATCAATTACTCAACGAGAATTATCTTTCTTACCGGGAGCAGCGGGAAGGCGAATGCTATGCAAGGCGAATGCTATGCGAGGCGTTGTCCTTCGTGCCTTCATCTTCAGGGGGAGAAGGACCATCCAACCATAGATTTCTTGAAGGTTCTCGGCGACTTCTCTCTTGTCACGAATTTTGTATCTTAGGCGTATTTCCTTTCCTTGCTACCAAGGTTAGTTCTAATTCGCCTTAACTTTTTCACTTGGACTACGAAATTACCTGTCCTCTTTGAGAAGGAGATTAGACTAGAAAGTTTTAAGAAGGCTTCGTTCTAGTGTCGTCAGTTTTTATCTCTTATCGTGCAAGATTTGAGCAAATATTTAATCCTTTAGTTGTAATTTAAACATGTGGTCTTGCCTTCTATTTAGGAGTTGGTTCATTAGTTTTTGAGAATTATGATGCTGGTATCTGCACTTTGATTGTGAGTTAAAATCTGTGGATCGAAAAAAGAATTTAAAGATTTGCTTGAGTTGAAAATTAGAATAGAACGAAGGAGAGTATAGGATAGGGTTAATTTGTTGTCAGTTTATGTAAGCTAAGCAGTGATAAGATAAGTAAATTTAAGTTGTAAGCTCTATGTTTTGTTGAACCATTTTGTTGATTAAACCGTTAAGATAAATTAGTGATGAAAAAAAAAAAAAAAAACACAGAACTAAACATCACAATAATCAATAGATATTCTCAGAATTTCTCAACAAACATTTCTCCAATATTACATTGAACTGAAAGTGCAGGCGCATTCATTATTTATTACAATAACCTACATGCACATTGACCAGTAAAAAATATAGCTCATGCCAAAGGTAGAATTACTCCATATTCGATGCAAGAAAATCTCTTTGATGGTGCACTTGAAGTTATGCATTATGAAACTTTTCAGATCTTGCCTCCAACTTATAAGCATGTAGGAAGGCTACTGTTTATTTTATTCCATGAGTCCACAATGCAAGTCATTCATCAGGTTGACTTTCCCAAGGTAATAGTAAGCCAACTCAAGATTGAGCTTCAAAGAGTTGAGCCAAACAAATTTTCCAAGATTGTCTATGAATATTGATTCCAAAAGGTCAACTAGCCTAAATCTCCCTTAATTAGCTAGACAAGATCCCAATTAACACAACCTTTTGATAGGGTTCAAACTTAGTTACTTCCTTGCTAGGCTGGCATTGTTTGAGATCCATCACATGAGCCCAATTGGAAGCTCAAGGCTTTGGGCCGATCAAATCATATGTTACAATCATTAAATGATTCAATCCTACATAATTAATTGAGTCAAGCCTCACCTTAGAGCTGCTTGGGTTGAGTCATCAATGGTTGAATGGAAACTCAAAGGGTACCCCTTCAAGTCAGATTACATAGGTTGCCAAGAGAGACTTCCATGAACTAAAACTTTGAATTGAATTATCGTATTGGAACATCATCTCAGCCCCAAACCTTTATTTTTATTTTTATTTAAAAAAATATATGCTTGTTCGTATTGTTTTTAGTCATTTTATATTTTATTTTTAAAAATAACCACCTCTATCTTCCACTGATGATGATCTCTAGCCGTTGTTGGCCATCTCGGACAATCATCTCCTTCCTTTTCCAACAACTTTTATTTTGCAATTACCGGTGACCACCTTCGACTGTTGTTGGCAACAACATCTAAACAAAACAAAATAAAAACAAAATATAAAAACTAAAAAAATAAAATGATCCCAAACAATTTCTTATCCAAGCCAAAGCTATGCACATTTTTTCTTCTACACATTTGAGAACTAATCCATTTGGCCATAAGAATAACCACAACATAGAATGGTGTATACTTATCAATGACGAATGGCATACTATGGCACAAAGTTCCATGTAGAGCCATAACACATGCCATACGACATGACATGCGTTGTTTTAAACATAGTGCATACTATTAATCATTATAAAATAATATAAAATTGTATTGAAAGATACACCATCATAATTATTAAAACAATCAAAGTGATGCTTAAGTTCAAATAATAAATATCTCAATGCACCATGACATGCATCATTTGTGCCATTGGCATGTATGGAGACGTGCAAGGAAAAATAATAATAATAATAAAAAAACTCAAAAAGGAAAGACTACATTTAGAATTCAAAGTAAGGCTCTTAAGGATAAAAACAAAGCACTTGGTTGCTTAACCTTACATCAAATAGGCCAAAATTTAACTATTACAACCATAAAGCCCTCTAGTGACCCCTATACATAAAAATACACAAAACGAGGCGACTTTAAGGTCAAACGACCTCCAATCGTCGAATGTATTTCTTAATTGCGATCAGAGCGTCGAATTCGCTTAAAGGAGAACCCCTCACAGTCAAATCTGACGAGATCAGTCAAAAGGGATGATTGACACCCAAAATTGATGTGCGACGTTGCCCAAATTATGTTCGATCGCAAAATGAACTCCGTCATTGCGTTCAGAATGTCGACAACATTAAAAAATGACTGCCAATTTATTCAATTAAGATTGCGTGAGGAAATAAATGTGTATCCTGAGGCAATGACACACAAATCGAGGAATTTGACACGCGATGTCGCTTAAATGACACCCGTTCGCAAAATAGACTTTGATGTTGCGTTCAAAATGTCGTCCACACTTAAAATCAACTATAATTTTGCCTAATAAAAATCACGCACGCAAATCAATTGAGTTCCTAGACGACTGCGCACAAATTGAGGAACTGCATCCAAATCGAGATAATTTTGACTGATTTTATCAATTCAGTCCTTATAAAATTTAATAATAATAACAATAAAGTATTATTATTATTAACTCAAAAAGGGGAATTTTTGTGTATTATTTGTCGCTATTGTCCCGACACCTCTATCGTCGACCTCATTCGCTCAGGTATAACGTCGCTAAACCCAAAATCCTCAAAACTTTGTTTTTGGTGCTCGTAGCGCTTCGAAAAACCACCTATACATGTTTTTCTCTAGTGTGGTTAGAGAGAATCTGGTGCAAAGCCTGCGGCGAGGCGGGTAGGCCTTGCACAAGCTTTTCTCTAGCATGACGGGGACAACTTTAAGTACCCATGGAATCCTCAGTGCTAGCGGAATTGTTCCCTGCGGGAACTATTCCGACGAATCCGCACCATCACGAAGTCACCAACCACAAAAGTTTTAAATTTTCATTTCAGATCGGCATATAGTTTGTAATCGTTGTTGCCCTTTTCAATTTGTCGTGCAATTATTTTATGAAACTCATGCATATGAGATGAAAATGATGATGCAGACTCAAAAATCCTATACCTAGAACACATGAGCATAAGGCCTAGTGGCGGTCTAGGTTTGAACCTGTAAACAATTTTAGAATGACTTAAACCAAGGGTACGAGTCACTGAATCATGGTAGTCGAGTTCAACTGGGATGCGATTGGATATGGAGGCTCTATGGGTTAGATCTAGCACATACGAAATGCCTCTAATCGGGGGTAATGGATTGGGAAGATCATCAGGATGGATCTCAACAAGTCTATTAGGTATGGGATGACTCTCCTGAGGGATTGATTCGTCGGACCCAGTGGGAGTCTCACGATCAACTAAGGTGTGTAAAGGCACGCTCTGGGCTATGACGGTTATTAGGTTCAGTCCCTTCTTGGCTTTGATAGGGTTGGATTCAGGATCATCCGTAACTAAAGGCTGTGATGGTAAAAGCTTTGTTGCGGGCTAGAATATACGCGGCGATAGAGTTATAATTCTACATCTTAGCGTTGCACGGATATCCAGCTCACACACAGAGAACACAATATTTTTTACGTGAAAATCCCGAAAGGGAAAAAACCACGGGACCTAGCCCAGTTGAAAAATGATTCCACTAAAATTTGAGGAAAGTACAATGGTCTGATTTTGTCCTTGAAGACGATCAGATTACAAATATAACTGAGAGTTTTGCAAAAGTCCAACATCACTCCACTGTCAGATGGTGGTCCGGCAGCACTCCGGTGTCAGGCGGTGGATTGGCAGTGGCACTTCAGTGTCAGGGGGTACTTCAGCTTCGGATGGCACTTTGGCGTCCCTTGGTGGTCCGTTGGTGGTGTGGCAGAACTACGGCGGTGGTGCGGCAGCACTCTCACGTCCCTTAGTGGTCCGGCGGTGGTGCGGTAGCACTCCGGCGTCCCTTGGTGGTCCGGCAGTGGTGCGGTAGAACTACGGCGGTGGTGCGACAGCACACCGGCGGTGGTCGAGGAGGAGCTAGGCGGCTGGAGCTTTCTTCCTTCTTCTCTCTTAGCTTCTTCCCCCCTTTTCAAGAGGAAATGGGGTTCTATTTATAGAATTCTTGAGTGGCATGGCTTGTAAATAAGTGGAAGATCAAGGGTAAATTTGGAGTGGTTCGGATGGACGGCCAATCTTGATTCTTACGATCATGCACCGTTCAATGGATATTTGATTGTCTTAATGATATCAGAATTTGATGATCTTGGGCTCGTTGGATTCATCTCGTCGATCCGCTCGATTCAACTATAAGCATGTCATGATTGGAGATCGTTTGGTAACCCAAATTACGGTTTGATCCTTCCAAAAGTGCTTCGAGTCTTTGATTTTGACTCATTTGGGCTCGGATTGGGTTTATTTTGGTGTCGTTGGGTTCATGTTTCTGAGACGCTTAGTTTGACTATAAGTTTAATGAAATCAGAATTCAAATAGTCTCCGATTTAATTTTTGAAGTTCCCAACTTGATTTTGCTTCGAGATTCGTGCTTGATCAAGGTAAAATTTGATGATTTATCAAGCTTGATCATTTTTCCCCCATGTTCAAACACGCAGATGTTTGAACGACCAAAGATGTGGACATCGTTGTCAAATAGTCAGGGATGACCTAGAAGGATTTGTCCAACACTCATAATCAACACATCACACCAAATATTATCCTTATAGTCAGCGAAGGAGATAGGTATGAAGCTACGTTCCTTTACCTCCAAGGCAGTAGTGTTGACCCAAGCTATCTTATAGGGGTTGGGGTGGGGAACGACAGACAGGCCAATCTTAGACACCATGCTGAAGGAGACAGCATTGATGCAGCTACCACTATCCATGACGACCTTACAGTTCTTATCCTTGATCCTGGTGTAGGTGTGAAAGATCGTAGTCCTATGCTAGTCGTCGGTGGTAACGGGTTGTGACAGTGCACATCTCACCACGTAGGTGGGAGAAG